CTTCTAATGTTGTTGAAAGAGTCACATACTGTATTTATAAGGTACAATTCACCCTAAAATATCATTCTGTCTTCATATAATGATGTATTGGCGGCCTCAAAATCACACATGACGTGAGCTGACCGTGAGCTGTTACTACAGAGGGCAGACTATGATAGACGCGCGCGTATGGCAAGCTATTTTTGCATTTAAACCTTTGTTTTGACTATCCATAAATATATTTAGAGATATCTCTAATTATATTTTGACTAGTCATAATTATAATTCGACTAGTCAGAATGAACATTTAAGATATCTGCAATTACAATTGTATTAGTACGAAATCAGATTGGAGATATCTGCAAATATATTATGACTAGTCATATTCCTCCACTGACTTTCATTGAAAAATATTTGCAGATATCTCTAAATGAGTTTTGACTAGTCACAATTGTAATTAGAGATATATCTAAATGAATTTAATTAAATATGAATTAAATATATTTATGGATAGTCATAACAAAGGTTTAAATACTAAAACGGCTTGCCATACGCACGCGTCTGCTTCAGTGAACAGAACCTGCAGGTTGTGAGGAACAGGTAATAAAGTAGTAAACAACATTCAGTTTGTGGAACAGAGTGATCGTTCAGGAGCTGCGTGGGAAGTATGAACAGCTGTGGAAATGAAACCGAAAACGTACACATTATTTAAACAATCATATCGCATTTTAGAGTTATGATTACGACGAGCATTAACCCTTTTGAGTACAGAGGTACACAAAAATGCACGTCAACATGACACACTTGATAGCACCGACATCAGCGACGCCGAAGAAATAGTAAATCTGCCTAAACTGCTGAAAAGAGCCACGACTGTCCTGTGTAATGAAAATACAGCCACCCTGTCACTCATCATGCCTAACATGAAGCCATCCATAAAAACCTCTCAGACAGATACACATCAGTTCAGGATTATTTTTTAGAACTGCTGATTACCTGGAAATGTGGATTTTTTTTTTTGCACACACAAAAAACACAAGTGACCAAGCAAAGCCTTAAGCTCTTACTGTTAAATTCAATTGAATAGAAAGCTTATTTTTTTTGCACCTTTACTTAAATTGTTCCTTAATTTTGTCTCTGTCATTTCAATAATATTTTTTAAGAAGTTTTTAAATTGTTTAATTTTCCAGAGACAGTCCTGTTTAATTTATTTTCTTAAAGAAGGTTCAGTTTAACAAGTTGAAACAAAAAAATACATAAAAAATAGTTTACTTGGTTAAATTTGCATTTCAGTAAAATTTTCAATTTTTATTCCAAATACCATGATACATATCGAATGGTGAACATTATATCGTGATACACATCGTATCGTGAGCTGAGTGTATCGTTACACCCCTAACAATTTAGGTTATATTCACCTTATTAACCCTTAATAAAACAAAACTAAAATAAGTTTGATTTACCAATGAGATGCAATGAAATTAAATATATAGATTAGTAGTGCTGTGTGTTATTTCTTTAACCCTTTAAGGTTACATGTTGACTGGCTGCGTGATGTGTGAGACCAGCAAACATAACTTACGTTCAGTTATGATGAACATAGTTTCCATAATTATACTTTATTAATAGATAAAGGTCTATGGTTCTCCATACAATTACTTTAACTTGGAGTTCATGGCTGTTTCACTTTACTTCAAGATGCATCAATTTGTTCTGTAGGTCTATTGAATACAATCATAAATATTGTTGGAGAGAGTGCGCACAAGAAAATCTGTGCTTGAGCAGCATATATTTAAGGACATGCAAAAAGTTGAGCATGAACAGAGAAAATCAAGGAAAGGAAAGAGATTTCAAGCAAAAGAGATCATATTCTCATATTACATGAATGCAATCTCAACATTTGTCATTGGAATAGTGCCATAAGTAGTTGTAATATCTGTGTAAAAGGCCTGCGACCACAGTTGGAAAAAATCCTAGAGGAAATGCTGTTGTCTATTTATTACAATAACTACAGAAAATAGCTTAACCACAGAAGATTGACATCCTCCTAAGCCACACAGAAGCCAGCAGACTAGCACAGCTCTGTAATTGGCCAAAATGCTTAATTTGACTAATCAGTGATCATCTACTGTTTCTTGTTGATGACCCCTGACCTACTTTCTTATCTACTATTCTTATCTTCTTTTTAAATTTCACATCTAAATTTATGGTTAAAAAAAACTGGATACCTGCAATGTAGGAATTCAGAAAAAATCTTTGATTTGATCAAAAACGTTTGAAACTATGTCTAAAAAACCTGCAGTAATTCAGTTTTCTTAAATTTCAGATGTTCAATACAAGTTAAGAAATAAAATTTCTAAACAATTTAATGGCACATAATATTCTGTTTTATATTTATATTATTACAATTGTCATAATTAAAATAAAAACAACACAAATTCAGATTAATTTTTAATTTTAAGCTCCTTATTTTTACAGGCTCGAGAGAATTAAGCATTTAAATTGTCATTTTTGAAGAAATAATAGCTACTGTACTGTTCCCTTTAAATGTTTGCTTATCTTGTGTGCCATATAAATAAAAAGCCAGCCAAATTTTTTTCCATAGCCAGGACATGAGTGCCTTGCTCCTTTAAATTTAATGTACTCACACAATCAAACTTAGTAGCCACTGAACCAAATAAAACTATAAATGAAATAAAATACATTACATTATTTATAAATTTACAACAGATGCAACAGATTTAAGATGCAAAATGTATTTGGTTTTACAATAAATGTAGATTCATTGAAAAGTCTAAAGTGTATTATGCCCTAGTGCATATGAGCAATAACAATCATCTTCTATCATACATTTAAGCTGAACATTCTACTACAACATAAAATAAAACATTAAAAATTTAGATAAAATTACAGCCATTACTTTCGGCAGGATTTAAAATGTGGCAAACACTTCAAATGCTTGCTGCCTCATAAGTCTGTTGCTTTCGATTCTTTAAAGCGTGGAACTGACGAAAATGTGCCAAAATAAAAATTACAGCAAAATTGACACAATAGCAACTGGAAAACTAAACTTATACTAAAATAATAATAATGCATTACAAAAGTATAATACTGTTGTGTACACATGTCCAACATGAACTGTACACTGCCTTTAACAGAGGCAGAACAGCTTCAGAAGAGGAAAGTGCAGACTCATTATGACGTGGCATTTCTGCACTGCACTATGTGGCCTTCTTTTTAGTTAAATGGGGCGCTCATCACAGTGAAGGCCCTGCAATTCTGAGCTTGAAGAGCAGTCTATATGTCCTAATTTTACAGCCAAATTAGGATCCAACTCACAAAGGTATAGCTGTCTTTCCAACATCGGTAAGAGACTCCAATGCAAGCGCATCTCTGAAACGTGAAATACCCAAATTTGATGGCCAAATAAGACCATCATCTAGCAGAAGATTGTTAGAGCACAGCTTGCATGTCAGAAGAAAAACAGTGGCAATCTAGCTTAAACTCACCAAAGTGCCAACAAAACTTCAAGTATATGATGTAGAAATTTGCTGACACAACTTGTGAGAACGATATCTCACTGTTCCAGTAAGCTGCACTTGACAGTGTGAATATAACATAAACCTATATAAACAAATCAAGAAAGTAAAAGTGAGCTGCTATTGTGTATATCTTCAGGGCTCAGCCTTTTGCCTATGGGCATACACTAGGTACAGTTGACTTAAACTGACGCGAAGCGCGATTATCTTCCTCTCCCCTCCCCCTCCGACAGCCTGCACTCACACTGCATTTTGCTCTCTGGTGCTTGCTTTCGATGTGACTGTTCAGTTTAACAGAAAGAGCACTCTCACTCAGCCCAGTGAATATTGCTTTACTAATATTGTCTTTGTTGTTTGGGATGCAGTGACACGCAGTAAAATGTTTTGTCAAACAGATCCACAACTTTTGATTTGCATAAATGATCATAAATATGATTGTGCTGCACATATTAGGAGGTTTGCTGAAGGTACAGCTGACGTGCAAGGGGTTTGCATCTTTAATAAACTATGACAGTTGATTGAAATGTAAGAATGATTAATAAATCCATATGAAACAGTCCCTTAAAAGTAAAGTTGCATCTTTAGTTTCGGGGTCAGGCATGCTCTGGCACACATCTTCCAACCTGGCCAGAGCCAGCCAACTGAACCGCGCCTGTGCCCGATTCAGAACACTCGCACTAGGGCTGCTCGATTTTGGGTAAAATCATAATCACGATTATTTTGGTCATAACTGTAATTGCGATTATTCAAAATGATTATCAGAGTAAGTCTAAATTATTCACCCTTCTGTGATTTATTTTTTTTTATATATAAATAATTCCCAAACGATGTTTAACATTAATTACATGTTTAATGGATTATGTTATGCTGTATCCAAGCTCTTTTGCCACAAATAAACCACAAATCGAGACTCCTGTTGAATATTTGAACAATCCTCATATATAGCTGCACTATGCTGCTATGGTATTTCCAGCGCTTATGAATTACATTTTACTGTCTTTTCTTTATTATAAACATGCACTTTAAAGCTTAAAAATAAATATTCCAAATTAATTCTTGAGGTGCAGCTGATCACAGAGAGTTGGAACAGATCTTTCAATTTCAGTTTTTTTGCAAATCCTGTTTTGTGGTTGTTTGTTTACTACAGAGACATGGTAATACGAGCCTGTCAATTAATTCAGCGGGAGGGGAAAACCGCACTCTTATGTCACATTGTGGTGGGCCTCAAAATAGCTTGCATCTGCATCCTATTTTAATGTCACTAAATTTGTTTATATCCCTCTAATATAACTGGACATACTATACCTACACACAGTTCTGTACAAACAGCTTTAAAAAGTTGATTTTGCATCATACGTACCTTTTAAGAAAACCTTGTACCATGTTGATTTTTTCCTTTAATACCAACTGTCTTTTGACAACTAAACAGAACTTCTAACAACAAAGAATACTAACACTTTCGACAAAACAGATTCCCAGTACCTTTCGAATAACAGGGTCATCATGATGAGCAGGTGTCCCTTCTGGTCCCTCACAAGTGATCCTTGTGGTTTCACTCTTGGCAGGAAAAACATACAGGGCTCTCTCTCCAAGCTGCCTTTGTGTATGATCAAAGTAGCCCAGTCGCTTTACCCTGAAAATTAGATGTATGTATAGGGAAACAATTAAAAATGATAGTTGTGAAATTTGACATGATACTATTTAACAATTCAATGAAATCAATAAAGGCACATCTGTTTTATGAACACTTGATCTGCACATACTTTTGTTTATGTTCAAGATAAACAATGCTAAAGTTAACAAAGACTGGTCACTGCTTTTCTGATGATTTGATGTGCTTCTATTTAGCTTTGTATATAATCATCTGCTAAATTAATACATGCAACATAAGTGTAAATCTAAATGATTGAGACAGTTCAGTTATTATTATTTTTTTAGTAAATGACATACATTAGTGTACTGTGAGTTTTCGTAATGAAACATTTTAGAGTTTATATATATATATATATATATATATATATATATATATTAGTACTGTCAATCGATTAAAAAAATAAACTAACTAATCGCACTCTTTTGAAAATTAATCGCGATTAATTTTAAGAGACTGAAACTTGTAATTTTGGCTATTCAAATGTAAAACAAATGTAAACGCAAAACAAAAACTATTTAAATTTAAAATATAATTGTTAATTCACTTGTACACAGATTTCTTCATATAAACAACATACCCAAAATAAACCATCAAAATCTTGACTTGACAGCCATATTTGTTACAGAAATAAAAACACAGGCATGTTTGAACCATTTGAATTTTAAAACAATCAAGGCCAATAAAGAAAAAAAGCTAAGTAGACAGCAAAAAAATGCCACAATACAGGCATTGTAAACATGGAAATTGGAAAATTAATAATAATAATAATAATTAAAAAGTATTGAATACGAACAATTGTACTCATTGTTAAGTTTTATTGCATGAGTTGAGAACATTAAATATAACGTAGAAAATTTTTTTCTCAATCCTCCTTTACATTCATCCAGTTGTTAAGACAGTCCAGTCTGTTGACATTATCGGGGGACAATGTGGACCTTTTCTTTTGAATGATGTGAGCTGAGAGTGCAACGCACGCAGGACAGGGCAGACGGAGTGACTCCCTTCAGATTCAACACGCATGATCGCGTTCATCAAATTACCTTAAACTAGGCATTCTAAAGTATGGTTGTATTTCACAAGCAAGGATTCTGACACAACAACAAGAAGCATACACTTTCGTTGCATTTAAGGAAGAAACACGTCAAACTTAATGAAACATTGGAGGGCGCATGCTGAAAGGCATTGGAATGAGCTGTTTTTGACAGCCTGCGACTTCATCTGACACTTTCTGAGTCCATTTACATGGACACCAATACTCCGCTTTTAATATGATTAAGATAATACTCTTTTTAAGAGTCATGTAAGCAGCAATTTTTTATTACCTTAAAGGACCAAAGAGTCACGAAATTCTGAGGTATTTCTTTCCATTTGCCATACGGTATCAAATTCCATTAAAACAGAAGTCGAAAGTTAAAAATGAAACACCTGAAGTTGCATGAAACTCTGGAGAGCCTGGTGATGCGACAATAATTGTTTTATACTGAAACTTGCCTTCAAAAGTGCTTCCTTGGTGTTATCTATATTTCTTTGCATGTTTAACAAACGTCGACCACAACAGGAAGTAAAAAAAAACCTGCAACTGCGTTAATTTTTTTTAAGCGTTAAATATTTCAAATTAATCGCATGCATTAACGCACTAATTTTGACAGTACTAATATA